GTATATGAATATATACGCACAATGCATCGCAAAAAAATAATCGATACACGCCGACGATAAAATTGAAATAAAAACAAACAAAAAGTGCGACCAATATTTGTATGTAACAATATACATACTGGTTAAACTCACGCAATTCTAACATAATTCTAACCTAGCATTTTAGGAATTTTACTACTCCAGAGCCCGCGATTAAAAAATTTGGAAAAATACAGCTCGGGTCTAAGCTGTCGTTTGGCCTTATTTACGGCTTAAGCTTTCGGATTCAAGCTGTATATTATTTTCCAAAACTGGTTTAATATTCTTTTTTTGCGAATTTACATTGTAGGAATTTTCATGGTAGGAATAGAAAACAACCAAGGTCGGTTTTATTTTCATTGGGCCTTAAGTCGAGCCGAAGATCTTGCAGCTGTCAATCACGTGACACAAGCTGTCGTCAGAGTTGGGACTTAAAGTCGGGATTAAGGAATTACGAACGAAGTGTTGTAACGCTGCGAGCTATAAGCATGGCCGAGCGCTGCGGCTAGAAAATGTGGGGAAACTACCACTGCAGCTTGAACATTATAGAGGTCCAGTGTGGTAAGTTACCCGGTATAAATCAAAATTGAAATGAAATTGTAATAATATATCTGAGGAAAAAAGGATTAAAAATGGGGGTTTTCGGTAAATTTTTAATCCCCCTCCCCTTCCCCTCCATTCTCTGTATCCCCTTCCACCTGTTGAAATGAGGGGATGAGGGGGGGGATGGGATATCAAGGAGGGGGGAGGGATTTGGTTTCCTGAAATTTGTAAAATATTCCCACACCACCAGGCAGATGGTGGAATTCAGATCTGAGAGAATTTCAAGACCCCCCCCCTCATTATTTTTTCCTTATAAAATAAAACGGCTTAGAACTCTCAAACTTCTTTATCTTTTCAACTTCATAGTTGTGAACAAATTTAGCAATTTTTTTATGCATAGGGTTTGTCACAGCACAGTGTGGAGTGGAGGACGGTAAAACGTCTGATTTCAAAAAAACAAAAGTAGTCAATAACTTTTTTTATTTATTTAGCTACAGATCTAAGATTTATATATCTAAAAAGTCATTGAAAAAATGGATGTATAAACATGTGTTATATATGTCAACATTTTCCAAAATAAAAAACATATTTTTTCCAACGTACACTTTGAACTTTTCTAATTTTTTTTTTAATAATACGACATTGAAAAGTTGGACTATAGTGACATGTATCACACTCCCCTATCTCAACTCCATTTTTAATTATATTTTGTGATGGATTGTCAAGAATCACTTCTGCATAAGAACTGTGCTTACCTTAATTAACTCTGAACTCTATAAGGGCCTTTTTTGCCAGGAGAGGGGGTTTTAAGAACGTCTCCAAAGTTTTATTTTTTTTCACTTTTTTACTAAAATGGATTAATAACAACTGTTCCATTGTTCAATCTTTTAGGTTTTAAGATTTATGATGAACAGTTGGCCAATGTATATAGCATTCAATTTAAAGGACCGTTTTTTAACATGTAGTCTATTATTTTCTTTACTACGGTAGATAATCAATTTGGCGTCTGGAGATTTCAGCTCATTTTGAATTGAAATCTATTGTAAATAATAATTCATTTATCATTAAATTTTTGATGATTCATGAACAAATGAACATACTAACATAATAAACACCAGTTTAGTTACAAAAAGTTGACATGTTGTGACAGAGAAAGTCTATACGACCTCTACCTATAAAACATTACTTGATGAAAATGTTTCTAGAAAAATGAACGCAATGTCAATATTTACAATTAAAATCACTGTTCAAATTGATGAACTTTCTAGCAGGAGCAGGAGAGGAGCCTAAATCAGGATGTTCGTAATGTAATAAAGTTAAAGCAAACTAAAGTTTTAACAGGCAAAATTTTTCTTAGATCCAAATATGCATTTATGGCGAAACTTAGCTACTTTATTTCTTCTCTTGATTTTTGGTAATTTTCAAAATTGATAAATAATATTTAAACAATATTATGTTTTGGTACAGTGAGGATCAGAAAACAGTGGAATTCTCGTCATCTTTTTTTTCATTTATTTTTAAAATATCTCATAGAATTTTTTCTATTATACTAAACTATTTATAGAAAAGTGTCATAAATATATAAGTTTTGAAAGGAATCGAGTTTTTGCCACAAACTCAAGTTATCTAAAACCTATATCTAAGCAACTCGATTGGGTTCAAAAGATATAGGGATTAGAAAATCAGAGTTTGTGGCGAAGACTCAATTCCATCCATCCATTCCAAAGTTTTCTTGTTCTCTCAATTTACTTCAAATGTGTGATTTACATATTTTTAATTCTTTGATTAAACATTTTTAGGATTCATATTAATGTCCAATCCTTTTCGAGAACTTCGCATCAAAGGAGGACAAGGAAATATTTAAAATCTGAGATTAAATTTCTTATTTGATTTAAAATTTATTTAAAATTTAAAATAATCAGTAAGTACTAAGTAGATTTAAAAATTGAGCTAATGTTCTTTGAACTCTCTTAACTTTCTAAAAGTGATCAGCTAGCTTATACATTTTATTTTATTTCTTAAACAGAAATGTCCTATGTCACTTAAAAGAGTAACAACTATTAAAAATGATTAGCTCTCAAGAAAAAAATTATAGATATCTCATTCATTCTATATCAGACAAAGGGTTTAAGGGTACCATTGTGAATGCCACATTATAAATGAAAATTAATTTGAAAAAAAAAATTTCAAAGTCAAGTTCACCCAAACCGTTTAGTTTTCATACAGGGTGTCCCAAAAAACATGGGAATTCAGTGACGAATTAGATATCGTCTTTGTTATGAATTAGCATTGTAATACCTAATTTCAAAAGCCATCATATCATTTATGTCTGCTAGAGTTTATTTTATGAAAAGGGTAAAAGATTGTAAAGATGTGTCTATAATGTCTCCGCAAGATGAACAGTGAAGACGTTCAAGTTTACTCTGTCTATATACTGCAATTTTCTTGTTTTACTAAGTACAACCGTATGCAGTCAAAACATAAACAAACAAAATGTGAACATCAGACGAAACTCTTACTGATTACAGCTTTCTCAGTAGGTATCACTATACTAAATCAAAGAATTATTTAAAAAGACGATATCGAATTCGTCACTGAATTCCCATGTTTTTTGGGACACCCTGTATTTTACCCTTTTCATAAAATAAACTCTATAGCAGACATAATAATATTATGGCTTTTGAAATTAGGTATTACAATGCTAATTCACAACAAAAGACGATATCGAGTTCGTCACTGAATTCCCATGTTTTTTGGGACACCCTGTAATTTCAGATTTTATTGGGCTGCAGATGTTACTAAAAAAAAACTTTAATTAGTGTCTATGCAATGAATGCAAAGGTATCATACCTTTGCGCTGGAATTTTAAGCGATAAATCGGCTTTTTCTCCGGTCTTTGAAAAGTAAGACTAATACCAATGAATAGCTTATTACAGAAATAAGTGAACGGTCCCTATAAGTTTTTTCTTTTAAAAAGGTTTACATATAATTGACACAATTGACTGAATATATTAGATTACTTTTCTCATGGCAAATATTTGACATTTATAAAACAAGAGCAATATTTGAACACATTTTCTGAAACCATGCAGTTAACAATGGTTAAAAATCGCCAGATTTTGGTACCTTAACTCAAATAATTAGATAACCTTTCTCCTGTGTAACAATGTTACATTTTCGATATACGCAACATCCCCCCTACTTTCTGACTTACTAAATTTCCAACCAACTGCAATATCCGACCTACGCTAGCTGTTTATTTTTGTATTATTTGAGGGTTAGGAATTATGGTTAAGACAATTTCTGGGCCTAGCACTGCGGCTAGGATAAGCTAGGGGGCCGAGCGCCGCGGCTAGGACAGGCTATGGGGACCGGGCGCAGTGGCCACAAGTCCACATAGCAGCTGTAAAACCAGGTGCTAGTAGGTAGGATGTGTAGTATAGCGGATTTGCGTAGGTCGAAAGATACACCATCAAACCAATCCATATTTCGAATAAATATTATAGAAGACGATATTTCAGACAGGTTTTAATAATTTTCTGTACATTCTCCTCTTTATCCTCTCACTAGCTACCTGCCTGTTAATAAATATCTATCTATCAAATATAAACAAATACAACTAAACTAAAATGAAATGGGAAGAATTGACAGCATACAAAGATTGAAAAAAAAGTAAAGTTTGTAAACTATCTGCAGTAATCAGAACGACCCAACAATGTGGCTTGTCCAATTTACAACTGAACCCTTTTTATACAAATTGCTGAATTGCATCTGTTTGGTATTTTACAAGAGAAGGATTTTTGCACCCCCGCCCCTTCCTCAAAAATGAACATGAAATGTTGAACATATTGCCGCTGTGCCCGGTCCACCAGCCGCGGTGCTCGGCCCTCACGTCTGTCCTAGCAGCAGTGCTTTGCCGAGAAATTGTATAAAACCCTAAATGATATAAATGTCATGTACATTTTTTATTAAGAGGGGGCAGGGGGTAGGCAGGGGAAGTTCAAAACTCTCTCTAGGACCGAGCCATGCATAAATATCTTAGAGGTACAACTATTAAAACTTCGTCGAGTATCCATAACTGAATTTATGCTGAATTCTGACAAGTCTTCATTTACCTTGGAGCATTGATCCTCATTCCTCATGTCATTTTAAGAGACACTATTAAGACAATTATTGGAGGAAATTATCATAGAAAATTTAGGACTTAATCAGACAAAAGTTTTCATGGTACGGCTGAAAATCGGACATGCCAAATTTGTTAGTATTATTTCATAGTTCAAGTCTATTTCTGGCTTAATAGACAGTTTGTTGGGGGGGGGNGAGTGCTGCAGCTAGGACAAGCTAGGGAGCCGAGCTAGGAAAGGCTATTGGGTCGGGTGTTGCGGCCTCATGTTTAACTACGCCAATGGGTCGGGTTACATAAATGTACAAAATCCATGTACATAAATATAATAAAATCAAATGTCTCCGTGTAGAAAGCTAAAAATGGTTGGGCGTGAAACTGAACTGGAAATGATAATAACAAGTTGGCGTGACAAACTTTTCAGGTATTTAAGCCCAGGGGAATACAAAGGTGGTGGGAAACGGGTGTACCCCCTAATATATACAAATAAATGTATTTTATAAACCAATTGCAAAGCCTAAGTATGGAAGATATAAGGTTTTTAATATGATGAAAAGCTATTCAATATTATTTTTGAATATGGATTTTTAGGGGGGGGGGGGGCCTTCGTTTTTTAAGGGGGGGGGGCGCCAAACGCCCCCCCCCCCCCCCCGGCTATACATAGATTCAGACCCCCCAGCCTTTATAGGGTTAAGGTAAATTTTTACAAATTTGATCATCCATAAACCTTTCCTGGGGTCAGGCGAGGTCCAACAACAAATTTGGGCCCTATCGGTTTGGCCGTTTTGACGTTTATTAGATACAAACGGACAGACAAACAAACAAACAAGCAAAGTATATATATATAGATTTATCTATCTGATAAGCAAAACGCATATTATTTTTCTATCTGAATCTATTTTTTTAAATCTCTATCTATTTATCTATCTCTCTATCTCTATCTCTCCATCTATCTATTTTTATTTGATCTATATAATAAAGTTCGTATCTCATATTTTGGGGGAACTCATGGATACCCTAAGATTAACATAGGCTGTAAAATTTTAATTATTTTTTTAAAATTCGAAATTTAGTTTTTCAAAATCACAGTATTTCAATTGTTTATAAAATTCCACGGGCAACTTTTGCCCAATCACGTTTCACCCAATTACATTTCACCCAATTCACGTTTCACCCAATACTACATTTAACCCTAGTCTCAAATTACGATTCACCCAACTCATATTTCGCCCAAATTACACCTACTTCAGAGTTTCACCCAATCTTTTTTATTCCTCGACATGGCCTCTTACATTCATTGCACATGCATTTATTGCCCAATTTCCGATCATAACTCATAAACTCCTGGACCGATTTGCCTCAAATTTTAATCTGAGTAGGTCGACTCATATATACAAACAAAACTGGGTTCCCGAGCTAGTCAAATATATCAATGCATATTGTTTTAAATCCGCAACTTTTGTGCTTGAAACCTGCAAACCAAATTTGAGCTCAACATGGCGGCGCAGTTACATGTAGCTAATTACATGAATGTTCAAAACGGATGATAGCTTGGCCAGGACCAACCTACAAGAGCTGGTCAGACGTTCCGACCCAAACCGATCTAGAACTGAACGACCCAAACCTTCAATCCCGACTTCATGAAGGAGTTCATGTTTTGACTCCGAGAGGATGTCTAACTTGAGCAGTACTAGAATAGAATATCAACTGTGTCCTTATGTATACAACTTATATAAATCAAAGATACCATTTTTTAAAATTCAAAATAAAATTGGAAAAAAAAAATTTGGGGGGGGGGTGAAACTCTTAAGTAAGTTGGGTGAAATGTAATTTGGGTGAAACAAAGTATTGGGTGAAACGCGAATTGGGTGAAACGTTATTGGGTGAAACATGATGGGGAAAAATGTTACCACACCACGTTGGGCATTGTTAAAATCATGATTAGTTATGAGAAACTTGGAACAGAATGATTCCGCCTTATTTTGCTTTAAAAAGGATTTTTAGGATTTTTGTAAGAACCAGCTGCATTAGGCAATTTTCATTTTGTTTCATTCTAATAATACCTTTTCCAAAGAACAGGTGGAAATTAAAAGAAAATTCTTTTTCATTTTTAATTATTTTCTTAAACAAGGTTTATGGCTATATTATCTATAGTCATGAATTTAATATTTCAGGTTGTAAGCCCTATTATTATGTTGTCTTTCATCACGCTAAATACATTAGTCTTTAAAACACATTTCATTCAAGGTTTAGAAGTCAAAAAACAAGCATCTAACTATCTGCAGTCCTGATCACAAAGAACCAGAATTTGTTTACAAACACTCAAACGATTTCTACAATAGTTAACAGCATATAGCATTAATATAATTTTAAAAATATGATTCATGAAACTGAATTTTCAAAAAAAAATTGAATTGAAAATTCATAAGAAATATATGATAGATTTTGGAATTTATAGTCTTTGTCATCAAATTTTATCAAATTATTGTTTTTGAATCAAAGGAACTGAGTTTTTGCCATTTACTGTAATCTTCGTATCCTTATATCCTTCAATCTCGATGCCGTAGACCTTTATTTATGATTTAAACATAATTTGTCCTTGACCCCTGTATTTAAATTTTGAAATTCATATTTTCATGAAATGATACATCTATAGTTAAACCACCTTCGCGTTATATCGTTTACGGAGCTGGTGTTGTGAGTTTATTAATTCCGGTTTTTTGACTGTCTGTTGACCGGAAATTCATATTTTATACCTAAGGAGTAAAAAAAAGATTATTTTTAACATTGCTATACAGAAACACTATAACCTCGTCACTTGAAATTTAATTATACTAATTCTCACATGTTTTCCTGCAGTAAATATTTGCAGTCATTTCTGTAAAGAATCCACAATTGAGAATAATCAGTTTTTAAAATAAAAAACATTGATATTGCCATCTTTACATATGGAGGGTCACATGAAAAGGAACTGAACATAATGTTGTAGATTTTGATATCTTATACAGTGATCTAAGCAGAAAACTGTGGAATAGGAAGACGACATTATAGCAATACTTAAGTGTATTTGATGTTGTTTAAAAGCAAATTGTTTTAGTAGTAACTTTTTAAATCACTTATTTAATCCGTATACGATGGGGAGGGGGGGGAATATGAGCAATGAAGCATGCTATTATGTGTGTATATATTACCCAAAGAGTGCTCTTATTACCAATATTTTGAAAACTTAACTAACCCAAAAAATATATTTTTTAAACAATTAAAAAACAAATTTGTTTGAATTCATATTTTCCAGTTGTTTTTTTAGAATTTTAGATTGTAAATTATTTTGTGAACTGTATTTATCCCTGCTCTATTAGCGGGACATCTGCTCCAGGGGTTGCCCTTTGGTGGGAACTTTTTCCACTTTTACGGAAATTTAAAATCCAGAATCGGAGTTAAGAGGTTGCGTGATTTAGTTGATTAAATTCGAACGAGGTTTGGTGATTTATTTATTTAGTTTTACTCAAATAGATTTACAATCTATTTGGTTTTACTTATAAATGCTGATATTATATATATATATTTATTTGTCTGTCTAATTTTTTGTCCGTTTGTATTTAATAAACTTCAAATCGGCTGAACCGATCGGGCCCAAATTTTGTGTGATGGATGCTAAGAATTTCAAAAAATTGTCTCCAAGAATTTTAGATTTTTGTAATATTTAAGAAATTACCGAAAAATTTTCATTAAATCTGCGAACTTTTTTATATTGTATAAAGAGAATATATGCTCACAGATAGAGCCAAAATTAAAAGATGAAATAGAAGATGGGACCTAAAAGCCTAGTATTTCATACTTTTAAACTATATTTGATGTATTTGTTTAGTAAGGTTTAATGTTATAATCCTTGTTTATTAAGGTTTGATGTACTTGTTTATTAAGGTTTGATGTACTTGTTTATTAAGGTTTGATGTACTTGTTTATTAAGGTTTAATGCACTTGTTTATTAAGGTTTTTATGTACTTGTTTATTAAGGTTTGATGTACTTGTTTATTAAGGTTTAATGCACTTGTTTATTAAGGTTTTTTGTACTTAATTATTAAGGTTTGATGTACTTTTTTATTAAGGTTTGATGTACTTGTTTATTAAGGTTTGCTGTACTTGTTTATTAAGGTTTAATGTACTTGTTTATTAAGGTTTGATGTACTTTTTTATTAAGGTTTGATGTACTTGTTTATTAAGGTTCGATGTACTTGTTTATTAAGGTTCGATGTACTTGTTTATTAAGGTTCGATGTACTTGTTTATTAAGGTTTGATGTACCTGTTTATTAAGGTTCGATGTACTTGTTTATTAAGTTTCGATGTACTTGTTTATTAAGGTTTGATGTACTTGTTTATTAAGGTTTGATGTACTTGTTTATTAAGGTTCAATGTACTTGTTTATCAAGGTTCAATGTACTTGTTTATCAAGGTTTGATGTACTTGTTTATTAAGATTTGATGTACTTGTTTATTAAGGTTTAATATACTTGTTTATTAAGGTTTGATGTACTTGTTTATTAAGGTTTGATGTAATTGTTTATTAAGGTTAGATGTACTTTTTTATTAAGGTTTAATGTACTTAATAATTCTTGAATATATATACCTTCTATCTGATAACCCCTTGTATGGGATTTGTTTTGATAATTCAAACCTAATTATCTATTTCATTTTAGTGTTCAGAACACGATTCTTGAACTGCTTGAAGGACTGGATAAACTGGAATCTGAGAAATTAATCTCATCGGAGGTAAATAAACATCATCAGATGTAAATTATTTTCTTCGGAGGTAAATAAATCTCAACAGACATATTAATCGCATCAGAAGTAAATTAATCTCATCTGGGGTAAATTAATCTCATCAGAGGTAAATTAATCTCATCTGGGGTAAATTAATCTCATCTGAGGTAAATCAATCTTATTAGAGGTAAATTAATCTCATTAGAGTTGATTAATCTCATTAGAGGTAAATTAATCTCATCAGAATTAGTTAATCTCATCAGAGGTTAATTGATCACATCAGAGGTAAATTAATCTCATCTGGGGTAAATTAATCTCATCAGAGGTAAATCAATCTCATTAGAGTTAAATTAATCTCATTAGAGGTAAATTAATCTCATCAGAATTAGTTAATCTCATCAGAGGTTAATTGATCACATCAGAGGTAAATTAATCTCATCTGGGGTAAATAAACATCATCAGATGTAAATTATTCTCTTCGGAGGTAAATAAATCTCAACAGACATAAATTAATCTCATCAGAGGTAAATTAATCTCATCTGAGGTAAATCAATCTTATTAGATTTAAATTAATCTCATTAGAGGTAAATCCATCTCATAAGAAGTTAATTAATCTAATCCGAGGTAATTTAATCTCATCGGAGGTAAATTAATATTGGATGTAAATTATAGAACCTGGATCTTCAAAAATATGCGAATATACGGATCCAAGTAAAAAAAGGCTTTCAGCTAATAAGAAATCATAAAAGAAAACCTAATAAAAATTAGCTTTTACTTAGGTTAAGAAATATTGATAGATCCGAATCCGGATCAATATTTTACAGGACATAACAAAATATAGAATATTAATGCTCATATAATATACCATGAAGTTTAAAACATTTGAATAATATCATATGCTAATTTTCAACGTCTAACAGGAATATAAATTTTCGGATTTGTTTATGATTTTAGCTCATTGGTCTCGCTTCAGGATTTTCCTAAATTGTTTAATGTTTATCATTGTCCATCGGATAAATAAATAAATTAATAGTTCTTTTTGAAAACGAAAATAAAAAATGGTATTGCCAGTCAGAAGCTTTGAACTTCTTTTGGACATTTTCCCAAACAGTTAATTCCTGTGAAAAATTATGTGGGGAGGACGGGGATCAAAACTATGTTCCTGAGAACTGATGATTTTATTTTTTTGTAGACGGACGAAGCTGATCTAGAAGATGCTGTTATTGTAGTGAAAAAAGAACAGGTTTGGAAGAATTAGAATTTAAAAAATGATTAAAGTTTTAAACCTACTACTGACTTAAGATGCCACAATTGTTATTTTAACATTGAAAATCTAAACCATTTTCTTGCTCATTTTGGAAACAGAAAGAACCCTACAAGATGATTTGAAAAACATAACAAGTTATTGTTATTTTTCTATCTAAAAACACATTGAATGCTGTCAGTTTCGTCCGGACACTCTTCAAAAGTAACCACAATTGAAAATGATCAATTATATCAATAGATAAACAAGAATATCTTCGTCAATTTTTTTCTGACAAATGCACTGCTGTGATCGAATATGCAAGTCTAGAAGTAGATGTTCGCTTAAAACCACTGATAATTTAGGCAGAAGCCTAAAGTATTTACGCGCATGCCGCGTTGAATTACAATACAAGGAGAAAGCCTGTTCTAGTTGTGGCGTTCGGCCATCTAGTCTGTCCTAGACGCTGTGCTCGGCCCCTAGTCTATCTTAGCCGAGGCGCTCGGCTCAGAAAGTGTCTTAACCCAGCCTAACCCTAAAATATATACTAATCTCTCTCTTTCTTGTAAACGCGGCAAGCGCGTGTAATTCCTTTAGACAACTTCCTCTAATTTAACAAGTTTATTTCTTTAAAACGAAATGAATTAGGATGATGATGGGAAAGGAATGGATGAAGGTATGGAGCATGAGAGTACTGATGATGGATGGGAGGATACACAAGGTAGAAAATCTTCCATCCGGGCTCTTTTTTATACAGGGGTGTATGTTTTCCTGAAAAATCTCACCCCCCTCTTTTTATACAGGGGTGTATGTTTTCCTGAAAAATCTCCCCCCCCTCTTTTAAAAATCATTTTTCCTATAGGTATGTTTGCGCTTATTTTTTCTAGGTTTGTTCGCTGAATTTGGGGAAATAAATGATTATTAGGGGATAACAAACTATTTTTAGCAATAAATATGAAAAAGGATGAAAAAAACTTTATTTTTTTCCCAGATCTCTAAAAATCATTCTAAATAATAATTTTTGAAATATGCACCCTGAGAGTAAAACTTTTTGTGTTGGGTCATTTCATAGAAAGTATTATTCTTAGACAGGACATTTTAAAGAAAGGACATTTCATAGAAAAAGAAATTCTTAGATATTTCATAGACAGGCAATTTTATAGACACAGAAGAATTTTCATAGCTGTAATTTCATAGACAGAAGAGCAATTTTTTTTCAGTCACAATTTAAGATTTTGAATATGTGAATATGTGAAAATGTGTCACAATTTTAGAAAATATTATAGGTTTGACTTACAAGAAATCAATAATATAAATATAATATGTTAAATATGAATAATATGTGAAGTAAAAATCATAGAGATCGTAGAAAGAGCAGGGCATGTTATTTTTAGATAAGATTACTTGGAAGAAAAAAGTTAATTTATCTATGAAAAATATTCGCTGTCTATGAAATGTCCTATAGACTATGAATTTTTTGTGTATGAAATGTCCTATCTATGAATTGTATATCTGTGAAATATCCTGTTTATGGAATATCCTGTCCATGAAATTTCCTGTCCATGAAATGTCCTATCTATGAAATGTCCTGTCAATGAAATGTCCTGTCTATGAAATGTTTTTTTCTATGAAATGACCCAACACCAAAGTTTTGTATCTCGACAGTTTAACAAGGACGTTAAACACCTCTTTTCAATCTCCCCGAAACCTTAATTTAAAAGTGTTCGTTGTGAATATTGAGCTCAGTCTAAATCTAAGCACTACATCCTTTCTCTACTTTAATTCCCCCCTCCCCCCCCCTCCTAAGCTTCTGCCGCAGTAGTTTTACAGATATTAATAGTACTCATGTTTTGTTGCGTTCTGTGGTAATTATTATTAATATACAATATACAGTTTTTATTTGATAAATACAAGTACAGATATTTAAACGTCTACACAGACACAGTAGACAAATCAGAAATAATAAAAGATATTTTTAGATTTAGTTGAAGTAAAGCTGAATGAAGGAGCAAACTTTTCAGATTCTCGAGGTATTCTTATTTTTATTTATTTGGTAAACTCGTTCACCCCCTACCCCCGTCCACCCTCCCCAATTAGCAAAAAAAATATGCTCACTTAACGTTTTGACATTGCTTAGGATCCGGATCCGTTGGATCTGCAAGATTTTGGCTTTCTAGATCCGGATCCGCAAAAATATGCGAATCACCGGATCCGGATCCAAAGTGCGAAATATTAACCAAAAACTACAAAAAAGATTGCTCTCAAAACCTGAATCAGAACTGATGAAAAAAGAGAGATTATAATTAATAAATAATGGTTCATCAAGTTTTAGCATAAAAATTAGCAAAAAAATTGAAATAATTTGAAAATTCTGCTTTGTTCAAAACAAAATCAATAAATTTCAAAAAAATGTTCTTGATCTGGATCCGGATCAATTTTAAATGAATCCTAAACACTTTGTTTTAAAAGGGAATGTAATAATAATTTCAAGTGACCCTCCATTTATTGAGTGACATATTCGAGTTAAGATGAAGATTTAAATGGTACCCTTGAGGATCAGGCATGTCACTCTATAGATGATGAAATGTCACATGAAATTACGTCTACAGTACCTTTTAAGAATATTTTTTGAATTAAAACTGATAAATATGTAGATGTCAATGATTCGCCTTTTGATCGAGAACATCATCAACATCCTCAGTCATATGGTCAAGGTCATCCTCAGGAGCATCAACATTTGCATCTTCATTCACAAGAACAACTTCATGTACAAAATCAACCTCAGGAGCTGCATCAAGTGCACGATCAACATCAACACGGATTCAATCAACTGCAAGGTCAAATGCCCCATCAAGTACATGTGAATAGTCATGAGCATCAGCACCAATATCCTCCAGTACAACCTGTACAGCAACACCACCAACAGGGTGTGCAAGAGACTTCAGAATACTTCAATAATTCACAGGTATTTTTAAACAACAGACACTTTATTTTGTACGTAATTTTTGTTGTAAAGTGACCCTCCATTGATTACAATGTCTAATTCACAACGGTGCCTTAAAACCTTTTGCTGATTAATAATGTGGAAGATATTGTCGTTTTTGTATGTTTAAAGTGTTTTATTGTAATAATAGATATGTTTTCTGCAGTAAGTCACTTGTTTAGAGAAACCACAATCGAAAATAACCAGTTTTAAAATGATACACATTGATATCTCGTTAGTTATTGATCAGCCAAACCTATTAAGGGTACCGTTATGAATCGGGTATTGTCATTATTGCATGGAGGGTTGCTTGAAATCACGCGTACAGTCCCTTTGAGGCATTTTTACAATGCGGCGTTTGTACAGAAACAAATCTTTATAAAGTAAGAATTTTCATTTTAAGAATTTATTTTGATAAAATATTATTGAGTACACAAGATAAAATATTATTGAGTACACAAGATAAAATATTATTGAGTACACAAGATAAAATATAATAAATCATGGATTAAATCCATTTAAACACATTAAATAGATAAAAATCACACAGAAATTCTTCAGAGATATAAATATTTTTGAAAAATCCTCCTCAATGAAAATAGTGTTTTTTTCAGAAGTAAGGGTTTATTTTCGCTGAAGTAGGGAAAATAAATAATTTTGCTTGGACCAGCGTATAAAATAAAAGGATAAAAAATATTTTTCATTTTTTTAATTCTTAAATAATAATATTAAAAATAAATAAATAAAAAAAAATGTACATCCCTCAAATAGACAATAAGAAAGCTTATCAAATTACGGTTTCAAATCGCGCAACCCTTCTTGAATTAAAGCACACACAAAAAAATGATTTATCGTTTTAAAAAGAAAAATATGCACCCTGTTAACATGTTGTTGTTTAGAATACAAATGAAAGTCAGTATCAATGTGAGATCTGCGACTTTTCAACGAAAGTAAAGTTTACGTTGAACAGACACATGAAGCTTCATGAAGACAATCAAACTCAGGAATTAATCAAAATTCATTTATTTATATCAGCACTACTTGTGTTTTCTTCTATTCGAGGCTTTTTTTATTATGTAATCATCATGTAATTTATCATGTAATGTTTCTTTTCGAATAAGGTCAAACAGTTTTAACATATCGTACACAATTTTTCTGGTCTAACATGACCCCATGGAAGCCGGAAGGTCAAAATTAAAAATGTTGCCCCAAAAATGCAAAAGTTGCTTAACAATTTTTTTGGAAATCATCCTTATTGATAAATGGAAAGTCAGTTAACTTTTTGATTTTTGTTAAAATATGGCAACTTGAAAAGAAATATTTTAATGCTAAAATTGTTACCAGAAACATAAATGAATCTATTTTTCTAAATGCGTAAAATTTTTTTTAAAGAAAGTATGACATCGTTAGATTTTCTAATTCCATAACGAATACATTGAAAAAATTCATCAAATGTCGTATTCTTCACTTTCTGATAATGGAATATTGCAGCTATTTCGTTTTTTAATTAAATGATTTTATGGAGCTCTTTAAAACTGTTCCCGCATATTCATGGCTATTTATTAATTTTCGCAAATACTGAAATTTACGTAATATAGTATAAAACTAATTGAAAAATTGTCAAGACGACATTTGATGAATTCTTCCGATGTATTCGTTATTAGGGGTTTCACTGTATTTAAATAGAAAGATGCAATTATTAAAATGTTGTAGAAATATTTATAAACATCATGAATTCCGTTTTCATTGTTGTTAATTATTTACATTGTTCGTAAAGTTAGATTTCTTTTGTGCATTTTAGTATTTTGATATTTTATAACATTAATTGTATTTAATGAATCTCTCAATTCTCTTTTATAGGAAAACCCCAATTGAACAAAAATCAAAAGAAAAACATGGATATTTTATTCATTTTTGATCAGATAGCGCTTTTTAGGGTATTGCATGAAATTACGTGTACAGTTCCTTTAAAAAGAGTATTAATATGATTTTGGTTGATTGTAGAAGCAGTGTGAAAAGTGTTCGTATACCTCGAATAGGATGGATTGCATGGCTCGTCATGTGAAGAAACATCATAATCAACCAACTACTCAGATTCAAACCTCATTTTCAGGTATACCAATTTTCTGATGAACAGATTTTTGGGAAAATAAATTGGAATTTTCCTTGAAATAAATGAATATCCTAACAACTATTGAGAACAATTGAATATCCTAACAATTATTGGGAACAATAGAATATCCTAACAACTATTGAGAACGATTGAATATCCTAACATCTATTGAGAACAATTGAATATCCTAACAACTATTGAGAACAATAGAATATCCTAACAACTATTGGGAACAATTGAATATCCTAACAACTATTGAGAACAATAGAATATCCTAACAACTATTGGGAACAATTTAATATCCTAACAACTATTGGGAACAATAGAATATCCTAACAACTATTGGGAACAATTGAATATCCTAACAACTATTGGGAACAATCGAATATCCTAACAACTATTGGGAACAATCGAATATCCTAACAACTATTGGGAACAATTGAATATCCTAACAACTATTGTTAAAGAATTTGAAGCTGATAATTTCTCATTAAACAATAATAAAAGTTATTCAAACATTGGAAATAGAGCTATAACAATGATATATTTTACTATGTTTTAATTTAACACAATGTTAGAAAATACTTGTTAACGGTTTCTGGCGACAACCTGTTTCACAGAGAGAAAAATAAAAAAATAATGGTAAAAATTTTTATTTCATAAAAAGAACAAGAAAACAAGAAAATTATTTTCTCATCGTTGTCCCCGGGTTTCTAATCTTATCCATGGTGATGTCCGTGACCATGTCCGTGCCCGTGACCTCCTCCATGCCCGTGACCATGTCCGTGCCCGTGACCATGTCCGTGACCGCCACCATGGCCGTGGCCGTGACCTCCACCATGTCCATGACCACCGCCATGTCCGTGACCATGACCATGACCATGACCATGTCCTTGGAAGTGCCTATCTTCAGGTCCAACTACATTTAAAACTGCCGGGTTTATTGGTAGTATTGGTGTCGCTAAAACTGCTCCAAGCATTGAAATTATCTAAAAAAAATTATACATGGGTTTGATATTAATTTTATCTTGAAAATCCCTCCCCCTCCCTCCCTGTTATATGAGAATTATTGAGGAATGTTAGTTGATGTTGATATACTTTTTTCTCTCAATAACTGAAATTCTGTAATTAAATTATTGAAATATGGTTTGCCACTTTAATGCAATTCAACTGATTCACACCGGTACCCTTCAAAGCTTGGTCTGAGAAAAAATTAATTGTCTGAGAAAGACTGACTTTGTTATCCATGTTTTTGTTTCCGAAAACATATTATTTTCAATTGTTTCTTTACGAACTAGCGCATTTCTTGCTAATGAAACAATGTAGAAATTATTCGAATTAAGCACTTTTTAAACTATGAAAAACGACGTTATCTTAACACTAGTGATCAGAATAAAGTTTCAATGGTACCGTTGTGAATTGGGTATGTCCCTCTCCAAATGGACGGTCTCTTAAAATGGGATATCAGAAGATTTTTATTTCAAATGTTATGTTAGAAGAATATGAGATACTTACACAAATAATGAGGACAAGGAAGTTGCTCTGCATGCTCAGTTTCATGTTGATCCTTCCTTGCTGATAGTTGATTGGGAATTGAGCTTTTCAGAAAGTTTAGTGGATTTATATGCTGATTTTGGCGGGAAAACTGAGAAGAGTAGCCGGCTTATCGGTCAAGTAGGCCAGTCGGTTCATGTGTAAGAGGGGGGATTAGTCTGATGGTTGTGTGTGGGGCGGGGGGGACGGAGGGGAGGTATTTATAATATTGGGTAAGGTAGTGCACTATATTCATTAGATCGCGGTTTCTTTCTGTTTGCATTTAAAGTGAGACACGTGTGTCCTGGAATCATCAAGTGCAGTGATATTGAAGGGGGTGGGGTACTGGGTAGGGGTCGTTTAAAAAATAAATTGATCGGGGATAAATAAAACAAATTGGGCGCACTGTTAAGCTATGTTAGAAGGAAATTTTTGTCTTATATTTAACTACATTTAATAACTTTCAAATATATTTTCAACATTTTACTCAAAAAAATATTATAGATAATTTATTACAGAAAAAAAGGGGGGCTGGGTTATACAATGTATCCCACTAAAAGTTAAGAATTTAAGAGACGAATTAAAAATCACATATTTTATTTTTGATGGTCGATGGATTAGGACAAACAGATACAGAATAAGTACGGCACATGAGTTCTCAACTAAGATGCACTCCCTCTGTATATAAAAATGATATCAATGTTTAGACAATTTTGAGTTTAATTCAATGACAATTTTGAGTTTAAATGCCAGGATTATTTTATGAAGATTAATTCAAGAATCCTTGAATTACAAAGGAATTATTGTGTTTAATGATACCCACTGTATGTCCCTTTTTAAAAATCCAGTTTTAAAAAAAATGTAATTATAAAGCAGAATTGTACATTATAAAACATTTTAAACAGTACGATACTGAATAATAAATACCTAATGTACTGCACTGTACTTTACATAGAAACTGTACATTATAAATATGTTTCTATCCATTTAGTTATTAATTACCAATATAAATGTATATTTTGTAAATATGATTTTATCTATCTGTTCAAAAATTTATTCATATATGTACTAACTTGTTTCAGAAGCGGCTGAAGGGACCTAAGAAAAAACCTACTTTTACATAGTTTGGGCGATGAAAGACTTACTTTGTGACATTTAGGAGCTTAATCTTTTATTTTATCATTTAAAAGTTAGAAAAGCTTTGAATAACTCTAATAAAACACAAAAATAAAACAAGATTTAATTAATTAAGTTTTATTTAGCTCAAAATGTAACGGAAATATTTGAATTCAGAATCTGAACTAAAGTATAAAAATTTTCTTCTTTAACATTTTTTTTTCAGGAAAGTAAAAGTGTTCAACTGCAGACTTCTCTTCCAACACATTCATCAAAGTTATATAAATAAAATACTATTTTAAGAGACTGTCGGCGTAATTTTATGCATAATATATGTACATGGCCGACGTAATTTTATGTATAATATATGAACATGCCCGATTTACAACAGTAACCTTTAAAACTTATCTAGGTAGTTTATATCTACAAATGAGATAAATTCTTTCAATTCGACAGAAAATCTATAGTTAATTAAAAATGATCAATGTTGCTTAGACAGAGGTTTAAAAATTACTGTTTTGAAACAAACATAAAACTCTTTTAAGGAACGGTCTCATAAAGTTACGTCGAAAGACCCTTTAAAGGACCATTCAAGTTTATTGTTCAATATTTAGATTTCTTAAATACTCCAAATCAGATATTTATAAAGAAGAAAGTCCCAAAAAAACACACATATTAATACAAAACAAAAAAAATCAACCTGTAACTTTGGGTTTTAACCCTGATTGATTTTTACACTCTATACTTCGTTTCAAATATATGAACCATTTCATTTCAACCTTTTCAAATATATGAACCATTCAACCTTTTTAAAATATATGAGCCATTTCCTTTAAACCGTTTCAAATATATGAACCATTTCCTTTCAACCTTTTCAAGTATATGAACCATTTCCTTTAAACATTTTCAAATATATGAACCATTTCCTTTAAACCGTTTCAAATTTATGAACCATTTCCTTTAAACCTTTTCAAATATATGAACCATTTCCTTTAAACCTTTTCAAATATATGAACCATTTCCTTTAAACCTTTTCAAATATATGAACCATTTCCTTTAAACCTTTTCAAATATATGAACCATTTCCTTTAAACCTTTTCAAATATATGAACCATTTCCTTTAAACCTTATTCTTAGATTCTATACGTCTTATATATCTTTCTGAATTAAAAAATGTAAAAAGAGTTTATTTTGACATGTTCTGCATTGTCAAATCAACTGTTGAAACTGTTGAAATAGCTTAAAATTGCATTTAAAATATTCCTAAAGTCTAAGAAGTTATGTTTTAGATGAAATATTTTTGTGTTATGGAATCGACCTACTTTTTAAAACAAATGTTAAACTAATTGAGACAAATTATCATATTCAAATATAAGTAATAAGTATGTTAAAGCAAATGGGAAAAGACAAAAAATGGTCACAACCAATGACATGATTGTCATTAATAAATTTTACTTGCCGTCTATATTATGTCCTATCTAAGGAATTCAAGGAATACAACAGGTACTCTCAGAAAATGTATTCAGCAGATTGTAAATACACCAAAGATAATACGTATATAGATACGCAGGCAGGTATAAATTTTGAGGTCTTGAGAAAAAGTGCGATCAGCACCATCTCTGTCGTACGCATGGCATTTTATCCTCTGGATTATTGCTAATTTATCACTTTGTTTATGCGTGATAACACCAAATGCGTACTATAGTATCAACAATGTATACTGCATATTGTACTTATAAATTAAACAAATTAATCAATGCAAATAAAACTGAGGTAGGAATTTGACTAGACAAAGTTTTAATGTGCAAGTTGTACTGAATGGGATACGTAAATTAACGCAATTTAGATAAAAATTATGACTAAAAAGTACATCGAATCTAGGACAAAGTCCTAATAGCGGACAGGATCCGGTCGAACAATACATCCCATTCAACACTACTAATTAAAGACAACCTCATTAAAACAGCTTATGACTTGAGGATTGTCAACCTGTATGAAAAGTCCTCCCAAAAAAATGTTGCAATTTTTTTTGCCTTGTTACTAGAATTCATGCATAAAAACAGTAATTTTAATAATTCTTTAAACCATCAACCCCAAGATCTTAATTGCATATTGTGGTACCAATTAAAAAATCTAATTTTATTTAAATATCTCATAAAAACCGTTTGATTAAATTGATATCACTTATTTAACAAATATCAAATAATTTCCAAAGGTTTGTCAATATTTCTTTTTGTCTACTATATCTTTACTAAGTACAACTGATCATAACATAAACAAAACGCGTACTGTATGTTTGTGTTACCTTGAAATTTAATTTTATTGGTCAAACAGGTCCAGATAGCAACACTTGAACTATACATGATGCAATACGCGTACTGTATGTTTATATAACACAAATGCGTATTTCCTACAGATGGCAGCATTGGGAGAAAGGAATATAGAAAGTAATCAATTTGCTATAGATATCTCTCCTTGCACTTTATCTCAGAGGGACAAAAATTAGTTGTCTGCTACAAGCAATTAAGGAAGGAGGTTTCTACCTGCCTGCGTATCTATATATATATTATCTTTGAAATACACACAGTGCTGCCCCAGGGTAACCTTTGTTTACATTCCTCCTAGAAACTGCAGTACACAGTATTTAATGGAAGTTCCTTTGATATTTATTGGTCCTATTTGTGCCATCTTTAAATTTAAACTTTCTTTATTTATTAATATGATTTTTTAAATAAAAAATATTTTGTTTCAAATCAAATGCATGAATAAGTCTTGCCTAAATGCCTGAAAGCAATTATATAATTCTTTAAACACATGTGTATTTTAATTAAATGTTTAAACAATGTTTTGGTTAACAGGATATCTTAGGGATTTGATTGATTTGATTTTATTTGATTTGATTTGATTTGGTTTGGTTTGATTTGGTTTGATTTGATTTGATTTGATTTGATTTGATTTGATTTGATTTGATTTGATTTGATTTGATTTGATTTGATTTGGTTTGGTTTGGTTTGGTTTGGTTTGGTTTGGTTTGGTTTGGTTTGGTTTGGTTTGGTTTGATTTGATTTGATTTGATTTGATTTGATTCCATCGCATTTCATCACATTTGACTGTATGAAAAAGTGTGCTGAATATCTGTGACGGTACAAAGGAATTTAGTTTGGTTTAAGTTTTCTAATATGTATATTTTGACTAACTGAAAAGCATGCTGATTGCTGAATAATATGATATGAAAAGTCCATGGGTTACAAAGATGAAAGGGATTAAAATATGAGATTTTGTAATTAATCAGTGATAATTTATTGATTTCGGAACATTTTTTTAGAAAGCAGAGGCATTGATCTCGCCCCCCCCCCAAAAAAAAATAAAATAAAAGGAATATTATTTTTATGGAATATATTTGGTTTTGACGTTTTATGAAGTAAATGCGTATCTTAGTATTTACGGAATCTATGCAAGGAAGTCCCGGGAAAAAAAACTGGAAATAAAACTTTGGTAAAATGTCAGAATTTTCTCAAGCCCTTGGAAAAAATGCAACGAGGTTATAGTGCATAGAGTGGTGATGTACGCTAATCCTTTACTGATTTTATAGGCCATAAACTATACCGAGAGCGTACTGCATATTTGTTTATTGTAAGTTGATTCTGGCCAAACCTATAATATATTAATATTAGTAAACAGTTGTAAGTGTTATAGTACAGCCAACTGAGCACACAGGTAGAGAACTATCATCCCCCCTGAAAAAATGTCACTGAAAATAAAGTCCTGTGTTTTGGATTCCTGGGATTTCTTAAATAGTATGGGGGCTGCCAATCGATGCATTGGAAATCTTTAACTAATCTAATCTAAATCTAAAACTTTAATTTCAATTAAATAATGTTTTCTGATAATGAATAATAACGAATGTGTTTGAAGAAAGTGTTCAATTAGATCAAAAATTTGTCGAATTAGGTTTAAAATGTGTTGAATTAGGTTTAAAATGTGTTGAATTAGGTTTAAAATGTGTTGAATTTGGTCTAAAATGTGTTGAATTAGGTTTAAAATGTGTTGAATTTGATCTAAAATGTGTAGAATTTGATCTAAAATTTGTCGAATTAGGTTTAAAATGTGTCGAATTAGGTTTAAAATGTGTTGAATTTGATCTAAAATGTGTCGAATTTGATCTAAAATTTGTCGAATTAGGTTTAAAATGTGTCGAATTAGGTTTAAAATGTGTTGAATT